GAGTAGCCCAAGAGTTGGCGGTGGGTAGTGATGACAATCGGCCTTCCCTCTAGTCTTTCACTGCTAAATTAGGGACGGCTAGCGCAGATAGCCCTCGTGTAGCTTTGCGCGAAATTCAAAACAAACAAAAGCAAAAGCCATAAGATAGCAAATAACTTGTTTTGAGCATTAGGATTTGTTTGTTTGTTGAGTACAAAGCAGGCTATCTGTCCTGTGCCCACTACGGGTTTTTAGCGTTATAATTCTTTAGACTTGCCGCTGAGTCACTGAGTCTATTAGGAAAAAGTTTACATTAGATAAAATGGTTGACAATCACGTTACGAAATCAGTGTAGTAAATATAGGTGTTACAAGAACATGAATGGAGTTAACTTGAGACTTGAATTTCCTTTTCATGGTGAAAAAAGATGTTGATGATCTAAAAATAGATGTTGATAACGTAGTAGTTTTCTATATATACATGAGACGTTCCACCAATTTGCAGATTAAACGTTCAAGAATTGTAACTCCTTCCAGAAAACCATCTTTTCCCAGAGCCACTTGTTTTACTTCATAGTCTAGATAAAAACGTTAACCTCTTAAGAATTTTTTTAAAGCTAAAAACAGAATTTCGATACCCTGATGGGCACAGCACGAATAGTCCACTGAGTAGCTGTGTGTTTAACTACAAAGCAAAAACAAGCTAAATAATTTTAACTCCTTCCACAAAACCATCTTTTCCCAGAGCCTCTTGTTTTACTTCAGAACATACAGAAATAAAAAAGTTAAACTTTGAGGAATTTTAACTCTCTACAAAACCATCTTTTCCCAGAGCCTCTTGTTTTACTTCAGAACATACAGAAAAAAAAGTTAAACTTTGAATAATTTTAACTCTCTACAAAACCATCTTTTCCCAGAGCCGCCAGAGGGTACAATGTCCCTATCAGCTTCCTGCTGGTGTATATGAAGACGATCCAGGTGTTATGTCTGAAGTAGAAACTTCAGCTACTGGGTTTCATCGACCTTCCAAAGGACGGTCAACAATTCCAATAAACAGATCACCACCTAAATCTCAAGAGCGAGCTGTTGGTAAGTGATAAAAATACTTAACCTTATCAGTTGACTTTCTGTAAATCTCAAGTTTAGCCGTTTGTAAATTTAAAATAGTATTAATATTTTATTACTTTGCTGTTATTAAATCTCGTTCAGTACACTCTTAAGATACAATATTTTTACCATATGGAGGACAAACTAATGATTTTCGTATCTTCTTTCTTTGTTCCAGAAATTTTCTTGGTACGATGTGCTTGTTTTTTCTTATTGTCGGTCATTTGTTGTTCCAACCCCCTGTTATTTGCCCATTTTTACCAAGTCATCTCCAGTAATGCGTTGATTCTTTATTTGTCCCGCTTCTCACCGTAGTAAGATATCTCTTAAAAGCCATATTTTGTACCTGTAACGTCCATGTTGAATTTGGGTGATTCTGATGCATGTTTTTTTTATGTTTATGACTTTTGACTAACAATGGGCTATCTGTGTTCTGCCAACCACGGGTATCGAAACCCGGTTTCTAGCCTATTTTTAGAGTTATTCGATATTACAAACTTAACGCTGAAAAAAATAAAGTCAAACGTACGCAACACAATATAAAACTTTGAAACATTTCGAAAAGCAGTTCAAGTATTAAAATTTTCCAAAATTGGATGTCCAATTTTGAACATTTCTAAAGCACAATGAAGAATTTTTAAATTTTACAAAATATAATATAGAGTTTTGAAATTTTGCAAAATGCTCAAAAGAGTTACTCATATTTCAATTGGTAACTTCTTTTCATTGCTTGAAATAAGTGTAGTGACACAACTAGTTGCTCAAACAAAATATGACTAGTGTATAATGTTGGCTTTTTTAACGTGGTATTTTGCTAAACTAAACATCACCACCTATATAAAGTGGTAATCTATTATTCTGAGTTATTCGAATCCGCATCCCACCAAACATGCTCGCCCTTTCAGCCGTGGGGGCGTTATAATGTGACGGTCAATCGCACTATTCGTTGGTAAAGGAGTAGCCCAAGAGTTGGCGGTGGGTGGTGATGACTAGCTGCCTTCCCTCTAGTCTTACACTGCTAAATTAGGGACGGCTAGCGCAGATAGCCCTCGTGTAGCTTTGCGCGAAATTCCAAAACAAACAAATCTTCTTCGTCATAGAATCGTTATAACAGATGATATCAACACGAAACACGTTTTTACACTCGTGAATAAATATACAAACATAGATCAAATGCAGTTTACTAAGTAAACCCATTTAGCCTAAGATCACAGTTTAAAGTAATACGTCTGGCAATAAAACAAAAACAGAGCTTCATATCTTAGGGGAATGTGGAAAAATGTCCCTTTCTTTATACTGTGGTATGCTAGTCACATAGAAACGTGTATAATTCGATCCTTTATTTGTACTTCTAACCAGTAAGACTGCAATATGTAAATGTATTAAAATATAATAAAAAAACTCTTAAAGGAATCATAACAAAATATATTTTGTTTATAGTTACATGTTAATTAGAATAACCATTCTGATTCTTTCTCAAATTCACCTTGTGCAAAGTCCAACAGTTTTTATTTGTGCTATAAGTTTATAAAATGACATGAGAAAGTAAAGTGATTGTTAATGTGAAGTTCGATTTTAGGTTAGGTTCAGTTCATGAACTCGATCGTATTTCGATTTGCAAGAACATCATTATTGAAATAAATTGTTTCAAATTTAGTGTTGTTTTGGAATGGTAATGGCTGAATTGAAACGAACGTTGTATGCAAAGATATTAAATAAATTGGCATGAAACTGGATACATTGTATGTTGCATAAGAAGAAAGGTCGTGCTGTTGAGTGTAAAATAAAGAGAGAAAGTGAAATATGATTCCTGAAAAACGTGGACTTTAAATTTGTCACTTGCATGGTACAAATAGGGAATGTGTTTATGACAGATGGAAAAAGTCAAGTAGAAGTCTTAAAGAAGACAAAAATACTATATGTGTTAGGAGTTTGGGCAGAAATAAAAGGTGTTGGAAGGTTATGAGGGATACAGAACTCTAACTGTAAGATGAGATAAGGATATAGTGACATAAGTTTGGAAAGAGTGGAATAATAAGAGAAAATATTACTACACAGGAATAGAGGTAAAGAAGAGCTGAAAGAAGCATGGGTCCGAATTACAGTAAGAATGGAGTGATAGTTGTAAGTGTCAATGTGGATTGACAGTGGTATGATAAGTCTTAAGTGACAGAAGGGAGGTATGTTGGAGTGATATCTGTAAGAATCAGGATGGAGTGGCGGAATTAGGTGTAGGGGTTTAGGAAAGACGGAATGTCAGAAGTAAATGTAGGGATGGAGTGACAGAATTAGGTGTAGGGGTTTAGGAAAGATGGAATGTCAGAAGTAAATGTAGGGATGGAGTGACAGAATTAGGTGTAGGGGTTTAGGAAAGATGGATTGTCAGAAGTAAATGTGGGGATGGAGTGACAGAATTAGGTGTAGGGGTTTAGGAAAGACGGAATGTCAGAAGTAAATGTAGGGATGGAGTGACAGAATTAGGTGTAGGGGTTTAGGAAAGATGGAATGTCAGAAGTAAATGTGGGGATGGAGTGACAGAATTAGGTATAGGGGTTTAGGAAAGATGGAATGTCAGAGGTAGATGTGGGGATGGAGTGACAGAATTAGGTATACGGGTTTAGGAAAGATGGAATGTCAGAAGTAAATGTGGGGATGGAGTGACAGAATTAGGTATAAGGGTTTAGGAAAGACGGAATGTCAGAGGTAGATGTAGGGGTGGACTGGTAGGAGTAGAATTTTTTTACATTATTAAAAAGCTGTGGTTAAAGACGTAAGATGATACAGTATTGGAAGTGTTTATATGAGCGAGGTATTAAGTTCATTCACACAATTACTCTGTCTTTGTGACGTTGTTGCATGTAAATTATAGTTTAATGTTTATTCGGACTGTATATATCGAATATTTCAAGTTTTTTATTCTGGGCTAAGTTGTTATTCTTCTATTTAAATTTGATCATTGTAAGTTTAAACTATACTTTTTCCCAGTTTGAATGGCTCACTACTGCTTGCTTTCAATCACATCGCTTAAATTTTCACATTTGTATCCATGCGTCTTTGTGCAACAGTCTCTGTTTTCTCATTGGCTCGTTAAGCTGTCGTGACCTAGGTTAGTTTTCTCGGATCACATCGCTTACACGAACATAATGACGATTCGATTATCTTTTACGTACTTTTTTCTATCGATTATCGATTAATGTACGGTATGTAAGGTCTTTGTTATGATGGTATTTTCGACGCCAAACACTTATTTGTAAATTGTGTCCTTTATTAACTTGTGTAATTAGATTCCTAACGTTCTTAAAGAGCTAGGTTAAGACTTAGCATTCTAGAAAAGCCTCAGACCTTTATTTAAGCATCAGAACATAACTGCTTACCTTATTTATAATTAAAAATTAAGTTAATTATACCTAATCGAACACCTTGTGATATCTGATTTTGATTGGCTTGGATAAGTATTCTTCATTAGGTAAAACTAACTCCATTATGTGTCTAAAAAATCCGACATGGAAACCAAAATGTCTGTTGCTATTTTTCAGTAATTATTTGTGTAAAGTTTACTGTAACTTCTTCTTAGACAAGACACTTTGGTTAGAGGAGTACCTTAGTTTTAATGATGGTCTTTCTTCAAATTCTTGTTAGATAAGAACCTAGGGCTAAAGGGATGCTACAGTGTTACTGAGTGATTTACTATAGCTTTGTTACACAAGAACCTTCAGTTATGGGGACGCTGCAGTATTACTATTTATTGCAACTTGTTATTAGATAAGACCCTTGGGTTAGAGGGGATGCCACAGTATCGCTGATTGGTTTTCTGCAAATTTTTTAGACAAGAACATTGAGTTACATGGATGCCACAGTATCGCTGATTGGTTTTCTGCTAATTTTTTAGACAAGAACATTGAGTTATATGGATGCCACAGTATCGCTGATTGGTTTTCTGTAAATTTTTTAGACAAGAACATTGAATTATATGGATGCCACAGTATTACTGATTGGTTTTCTGCAGATTTTTTAGACAAGAACATTGAATTATATGGATGCCACAGTATTACTGATTGGTTTTCTGCAGATTTTTTAGACAAGAACATTGAGTTACATGGATGCCACAGTACTACTGATTGGCTTTCTGCAAATTGTTTAGACAAGAACATTGAGTTATATGGATGCCACAGTATTACTGATTGGCTTTCTGCAGATTTTTAGACAAGAACATTGAGTTATATGAATGCCACTGTATTACAGATTGGTTTACTTCAATCTATTGTTAGACAACATACTTAATGTAATGACGGTGTCTTGAAATGATGTGGAAACCTATAACATTACTGATGTGGCAGCGGTGTTCTAAAATATTATAAAACTCTTTGCTTCTATAACATTTGTCTAAAGTTTTAAGACTAATTGTCTTTTATATTGGTGTTCTTAAATGTTCTGAGAAATTGTGGAACTTCATACCATTATTTGATTTTAGACGAGTGTTTTCTTGTTATCTTTGTGATTTTTTTTCCTTTTTCATCAGAGGTGAAATTGAAAAGAAAATCTCTGACGTAGGTGTGTAATGTTTTCTTTGATTGGCCATACCCTCTGCTGTAGACTGTAGTTTTGCTTATTAAAGGGTCATCAGCACAGCTTGAGTTAGCAAACAAAACAATTTATTTTATTTTTGACGACATTTCATTCCAGCCCGGAGGGCTGGCGGGCCAACAAAGGGTCACGCTCTCTCAATGGCCAGGAGATGTAGAAGTACACAGTGTAAATAAGCAACGAGAGATGAGTAAGTGAGACCAGGTAGTGAGTTGGTGAAGACGAGTTTAATGCAGCTATTAGGAAACGTAATAGATAGATAGATGTGTGGTGGAAGATCAGGCATCGGAGTTACATTGTAGTCGGAATGATCAGGTGGCAAAGACATAAGGTAGAGGTTCAGAAGATGATTCGTCGAAGGTAAGAGTTTGAGAAGGGTATTCACCGAATAGGACAGG